TAATGAAAGGCAAAGAAATCCCTGGATTCTGGCTGATCGGAAATTCTCCAATTAAATGGCGATAACCGACCCGCTGTTTCTTGGGCTTGACAAGGCATTATTCCAATTCGATTCTCACAATGATTCCAGTCTAGTTTCTTTAAAAAAAAAAATGGAAGAAAATCAAAGAAAAGTAGCAATGAAACATTGTTCGCGTAACAATCGGGTATCTTTTCTTATTTACATGTTTTTTTTTAAAATAATTATATAGGATAATACGTAAGCGACATAGAGCATGGTCTAATTCATAGGGTCAGAATAGAAAAAGAAGCAATTAGTGGCGAAATACCAAAATAGGCAAAAAGGAAGAAGTGTTAAAGGGGGAATAACTATTTTCATTGGAAAAGCTATTCAAGATATATTCGTAAAGGGAAGGATGTGATGATAAAAATGCCGAAGTTAACAGGAAGAGAAAGAAAAAAGAAAAAAGGAAAGACAAATAGAAAAAAAAAAGAAAAAAAAGAAACAAAGAGAATAATACAAAGAAAGGAAAAGAAAGAGAAATATTGAGACAAAAAGAAAAAGAAAGAATAAGAAAAGAAAGGATGAGAAAAAGAAAATATAACGAAATAAATATAAAGAAAAAAAGATATAGAAAGGAAGAAAGAAGAAAGAAATAAAGAGAAAGACATAAAGAAAGAAACAAGGAATGTAAGATAGAAATAAAAAAGTAAACAAAGAAAGAAAAAGAGAGAAAAAGAAGTGAGAAGAAACAAGAAAGGACTTTTAGTGTTTTAACCTAAGGTAATCTTAATAACAGGGAGGTCGCCATTTCTCCCAGTAAAATTTAGAGGGGGTATGTAATAACATTTATTGATCATAAAGTGTGAAATTAATAAACATTCTGGTCTTAATAAGCAAGGGGTTTTGTCACTCCCCGCCAAAAATAATATACGCCCCCCACGATCTTAAGAGTAGAAAGATATAAGACTGTAACGAAAACAGACGCAAATGACGAAAACAGGAAGCCAAAATGAATAGGAAAATAATTAAAACCGTACCAGTAAATAAGATATAACAACGTTTAATCCTTACTGAAGGCCAAGTGAATTTCGCCATTTTTTCAATCATTCATCTGTACAAGAAAAGAGGCCCGATGACTGACTGAAAAATTACGATACTCTGAGTCGGCCTTTGATAACAATTGAACGTTATTATATCTAATTTAATAATAATTATCTCTGTAGTCTAATATTGAGAATTTTATAAGGATAAATTTTGTTAAATTTTATATACGCCAAATTATATAATTTTACGTATAGCAATTGCCAGTATAAATAACTAGCATTATTATTTTATTTTAAATAAATGAAGAAGGAAAGACTGTAGGAAGAAGTGTTGGAAATAACGAGAAGAAAAACGAAAATAAAAAGACAAGAAAAAATGGAAGAAATATTGTTTTAAGAAGATGGAAGATGTTAGAACAATACTTTTGACAAGTCGTTCTTCTTCTGTCTCCTTTTGACAAGATCACTCAACATTTTTTATCATGTAGGAGCAATACGCTGAAAGATGACAAGAATAAGGCATATGAGGATTTTCTAAGCGAATATTAGATATGGCACAAAGCCGAACAAGAATAAAGCATATTTAGTGTGAGAATATGAGACACGTTTAGCATAGGATTATAATGTTCTTCGGGGAATTATTCTAAACATATTTTACTATAGCGTTACTAAATCTTATTTTACGACTAAGTTTGAATTGTCTGAAAAATATTTCTACAAGAAAAGGAATAAATGAGATAAATAAAATATAGTAGAATCCCTCATATCCGGAGGACCTCATATCCGGAATCCCGCATATGCGGACATCATTTTGATATGTATATTTGAACGATTAAAAATAAGTTACATATCTCTAATAAAATTGGCGATATGTAACTGATTTGAAATTTCTGTTTTCAGGAAATTTACTTTGGATAATTGCTTATGCTTATTTCACCCTAATGGCTGGTATTGTTTCAAGAGATGATGGGAATATGAGAAAATGAACATCTTTGGAGTTATCCCAAAAAGTGGAAATTTTAAACAGACTAGACGCAAATGAATGTTAATTGTAACTAATGGCTGAATTCAACATAAGATAGGCTTATAGGATTGAAAATGTTGTCATTTTATGGAAAGACAGCCAGCGTTCAGTTATGACGATTGCAATAAGGCACGCAGAGTTAAAGAGTGTCTTTCGTTTAAAAAAATTCAAGAACTAAAGCAAAACGAAATGCGGAAAAAGTTGAGAATGACATTAGAAGAGAAAGAATTATCATGCAACAGCGATTAAAAAAATCCTATCTATATTATTTGTTTTGGATACGTGGCAGACTTAATTTACTGAATTTTCATTAACATTCCATAATTTATTTCTTTTTCTTTCAAATCAATTCCGTTATATTTCACTCACCATTAGCTTATTTTGTTTACGTTGAAACATTGTAAATAAATGTTAAACGTTATTTCAGTTCTTTTATTCTAATCTGAATATAACCCCTCATATCCGGAGTTTGTAACAAATTCCTCATATCCGGAAAGTTTCTTAGTCCGGCTGACAAGGATTCTAATGTGTAAATAAATATATTCCTATAAGAATCATGCAGGAGAGTATCAATTGGGAGAGTTCATTTCAAAATTGAAGGCGTCTTCATTACCTTTGTTTTATGAAAGAAGAATGACATTTGGTTTTGTAAGTTATCTAAGTCGGACTTCCTTCTTCTTTGTGCCAAGAGATTTCACTTTGATTCCAGCACAATGCACGCACGTTTAAGAGCAATTAAAGCAACGAACATATCGTTTGTAGTCACGTAAAGAGAGACAGAGAAAGGCCCGTCATAAATGCATGGGGAAAATAGATGCTTCTCGTATTGTATATATTCGGACAAACGTTTGACACAGACCTAGTAACCAGCTATAGGATTCAACTTGCAAAGAACAGAGTTAATAAACTTACAGTTACGTAAAAAAGATGTAAGAAATATAAAAAAAAAAATAAACAAACACGGCTAAAATGAAATCGAAAGGAAAGACAAGTGGGAAAAAAAAAATAAACTGTTAAGTTAAAGACAATGCCTATGTATTTCTTTAACGAAATTTAACTCAGTCCAAGAGTTGAGAGCTATTCGTAGGTGAGCGTAACATTCCAATAGATAATGAGTGACATTTTATTTATTCATTTAGCGCACTCTGCCCCGCTGTGGTCACGACAACGCTCCATTTCCCAGTTGTGGTTTATGGTGACATTGACATCAAAAAGGGGTAACGGTTTGCCAGTTTCATTGGTGATGTTGAAGTTAACCCGTCTCTCCTTTCAGAAGTTAAAGAGGCGAAAACTAGAAGGTATCACGTGGTTTTAATTTCAGAGTTTACCTTCTCCTAGACTGGGTGCCAACCAAGGTCTTTCAACAGTATTTCCTGCTATTTTGTTTCCATAGCTGGCGGGGGGGGGACATATGTTCATGCCTATCCCAAGGGTAATAGTGAACGCAATGAATTCGACTGGAATTCAAACTCAGCTCTCAGATTCCTCAGTCCGAGTCGCTACCCATTTATCCACCTAACCTCTGATAATTAAGGAGATATTTTTAAAGAATGGAAAAGAAGGTGTTAGGAAATTACCGTAATTTTCTATGTATAATACGCCTTCATTCATATGTACTCTTAAAATTGTACTGAAAATATGGGGAAATGCTACTACTCACGCATAATACGCAACCTTTGTTTAGTAATCAAACCCTATAAATTGTAACTCTCCAATTACACTACGGCCAGCATTTCATATTCTTATTCAAACTGTAAGTGAAGATATTTATCATAATTTCCGATCATCACGGTTATAAAAAGAACCGGAAATACCTGTATTGTCCCTACTGCGCAGACATTAACCTGTTTTTCTTCGATGAAATGAACAGTCTACCGGATCTGCATTTAGTCTTTCACAAAAAGCGATTTTAAATATAGAATAATATTATTCTAATTTAGTTTTATGATAATTTTTATTTTATTTAAATTTATAATTATTGTTAGGCACAGATGTTTGTATTTAACATCCTTATGGGGTCGCAATCACCGAATGTTAGTGTCAAATTGTGGGATGTTTGTGGTGAGTAGTCATTTCCCAACTGAAATCGACCTATGAAACGGTAATATTTTGAAGATATTTTTATACCTGTGCTACACTCTTCATTTTGCATATTATTATTTTTTTGAATAAATGCTTATTGTACATGGGGAATTATTGTGGCATAATTGGGATAAAATGTATAAACAACGAATGATCCTAAACTTGAGGAGGTCATGATTACAATATTCCGTTCCGCAAAAGGGTGATTCATTGTGAAATCGTACTAGAGTGCATATGCAACAAGAAATTTGGAAGGCGAGGAAATAAGGTGATTGCATTCTCTGGAACTAGCTGACGTATCCCAGCAGCAAATGTCTTAAATGCCTGAACTGAATAGTGGAGCTCTTCTGAAAATTTACCAGGGATTTCCTTAGTAAATGAAAAAAAAGGACAACAGGGTTTTTAATATGAATATCAAGTAAAAGGATGTTTCGACACAACAACGTAGATATGACTTATCTCCATGACAAGCATTTCCCACTATTGAAAGATGCTAGTAAAATCCTAAACTACAAATACTGATAGTCCACGTAGACAGGTGGTTTCCTTCTTGTACATCTTACGCAAAATAATGTTCGTAACCGTGTTAACATTTTCATCATACGCCCTAGGCTCATATTAAGTAAATCTTAGTTAAATGGACAACAGGATAGAACTATTTAAAATGGAAAAATAAAAGGAAATATGAATGCTTCTCATACGTAAATGGATAAAAGACGCAATGAAACAAAATATATGAGATTATTTTCAGTCTTTGTAATTTGGAAGCACATTCGAATTGCGGGAAAAAAAATCAAAGGCAGTATAAATCTTTGTCAACTCGATCTGTTATCTTAGTTGAAGTGCAAATGGACACTACAAAAACAGCCTGCCTTATGGATCAGCTACACGTTTATTTGGCACTGGCAGTTGTAATTTGTAAGATTATATATATATATATATATATATATATATATATATATATATATATATATATATATATATATATATATATATATATATATATGTATGTGTGTATATGTATGTATATATTTTGTGTATATATATATATATATATATATATATATATATATATATATATATATATAAAGAAGAATATAGTTTAAAGGTATGCAATATATATAGGTTCAAGGGAACAATACCAGGGATAGAGCGTATTGAACCTTGAGGGTTGCGTTTAAGCATGAAACAAACTGTCACACTTGGGTATTGAACTCAGTGTCCACTATTCAGTCTGACAGGTTATTTAGTTATTAATTTTTTTATTATTATTAGTAGTAGTAGCAGTAGTAGTAGTAGTAGTAACTAATCATAACTCTTCACAACTTTCTGCCGTCTATTTGTCCAAGTTAAATCTAAGTATCATTTATTTCCTCTTTTTCTTATTGACATATATTTCTCAGGCGAGGAGAAATATTAGATAATGGCACCGTTTAGATCGAATTTATGATTGAACTATACCACATCTAAAGTAACTATTAGAAAGATTTGAGCGTGCTACAAAGTTTTCTAGATAGAAGTAGCTGTCAATTCTATTCTAATATTTTTCTCGCACTCTTCCGCTACTCATTTGTACAAACTCGTTAGGGAGCTTACTCGATGTTTCCCCACTGTTTTTGTTATCTGTAATATGTCCAGAACTTTTAAGATCTTTTGATTAATTTTCCCAATTAGCTCTCTCAGAAATGTCATATATCTCTTTCTGATTGAAAGCTAAAGTAACCTTTTTTTTTCCATTTTTATCACGTATTCGTTTCTGACATTTTTCACTTCATTAAATCCTCTGCGGGCATCAGGTCAACTACAACACAATCATTTCCTGTCTTTTCTTAATCTTGATTGTACAGAATCTATTACCATATTTAATTGGCGCAGCCACACGAATCCTAGGATGACAGTCTAATAGAACGGCTAGCTAATACCCACTGCAGACGTCTGCTCGGGCACATTTCTGTTTGTTCAATACCCACAGAACATAATCCCCATTACAGACGCCTGATCAGGCACAATTGTGTTTGTTCAGCACCCCCAGAGCCCACCTGTGATTTATACTGCAACTATGCTGAGGTGACCTTAGTGACAGTTTCTGGGAGAGATATGGTTTTCAAACTCTTTCCAAAGATGCCGCACGCTGGGATCGCTCCCTCCAGATCGATACCACCAGGAAGTCTATTTCTTGACAAATCAACCAAGGTGAGATTCGAACCTGGATTTCATGGTCAGAAAGCACTCGGCACGCTCCCATATTTCTTATATAAGAGTATAAATATTACTCAGCTATATGGAACTCATTGTGTCTAATGAAATCTACCTGTCTAGTAATTTTTTATTCAAATTCTGAGAGATTTTTTTTTCGCTGCTGTCACGCACCTTCAAATTTCTGTATTACGTTCCGTCTCAGTAATTGGAGTAATGGATAAGGGCTCGGATAAGGAATCAGAGAGCCGAGTTCGAATTCCAGTCGAATCCATTACATTTGATTACGTGCTAATAACCTAATAATTCAGTCTGTTATGTGCCATGCGTAATACACGGTTAGGCGATCTTGTATCTTTCGATACATGCTTGATGAGGCAGATTTTTCTCGCAGTAGATTGCCATTTCTTTCTGAAGCAGACCAGTTGCCATCCAACGCTATAGAACCGGGTCTGTCCTGCTATTTACCCATAGCTGGGAGAAGAAGAAGAGGATCCATACCTTTACCAAAGTTATTAGCACGTAAGTGAATGCAATGGATTCGACTGGAATTCGAACTCGGCTCTCTGATTCCTCTATCTGAGCCCCTATCCATTACTACAATTACTGAATTTTACATATATATATATATATATATATATATATTAGGGTTGCCTTATTTTTTTACTGAAAACGATGCATTCTCTCTTCTTACACTAAATAGTTAGACATTCCTTCTTGCTTTCTTTTAAAATCTTAGCTTAGATTCTTTTCCGTTGTTCTTTCTTCTGAGTCTGCCATCAACATATTGTCATCCGCAAAACCTATTCTAAGATTATGTCCGCCGATATGAAATCCGGGTAGGTAGTCTCGTTCTCTTAGGATGATCTCGCTGTGCATTTTAAATAAATCTTTGTAACCATGTCACTTCCATCTGGCATAACCAGTGTAAGGAAATATTACTCTTTTACATTAAAAGCTTACAAAGATTAGAGATATTACGGAAAGAAAACTTCTTGGCATATTATAAAGTAAAATGTAGAATTATGGAAACTACAGTGTTTCAAGAAATATATAATCCACCTATTGGTGCCTGACGCTTGGCTTTAACTTGAATCAATTTTCAGTGTACCAAACATGCAGAAAAAAAAAACTTCCTCGGAAATCAGCATGTGAAATTTACTATATATATATATATATATATATATATATATATATATATATATATATATATATATATATATATATATATATATACACAGGCTAACATAGACAAAAGTGACAATATCTTATCGACTTGACATAAGTGTAATCCTATTCTCGTTAGCCTATCTTAATCTAGTACAAGGCCATGAATACCTAGCAGTCAGTGAAAGTTAAACTAACTACTCATTAGTAATATTCCACCTTATTAGCTCATTAACCATTACTCTTCACCGAGGTGGCCTACATGACATGGTAGGCACTAGTTTGGTTCCTATGATCTTACACAATTGAAGCACATGGAGATCTACGAACTTGATCTCCAGTCAACGAAAATATAAGTTACATATGCTCCGTTGCGTAAACGTTGGAAAGAGGTTCGTGGTGAGAATATAGAGAGCTGAGTTCGAATTCTAGTTTAATTTTCTTACCCGCAATTACCCTTTGGAAATGTATGAATTAATCTGCTTTTCCCACAATAATAGATTAAATAGGAGGGCAGAGTAAGTTCTATACCTTTGGATAGCAAAACATTCTAGAAATATTAACTTTCAATAGTCTGGGCCAATCGTCGGAAAGTTTTAGCCCATGCAAATTCTTCAGTCTTGTGAGATGTGCCTATATATAGGAATGTAGGACGCCCATGGCTAAGATACAAAGACAAGCTCAAAAGCAAATTGTCAGTAGTCAATATACCACATAGCAACCTTGAGCGCTTAGTTTATGAGCGGGTAGAATGGAGATCAACCTGTTTTAGTGGACTCAGCAATTTTCCATCTGCTTGTCTGAAGCATCTTCAAGAAGCGAGAGCAAGATCTAAAACGTCAGCCAATCTAACCGTGATCTTATTTCGCAATCGTCACATATGCTCCATATGTGGCCTCCTTTGTAAACCACTAGCGGCTCTTAAATGCCACTTAAGATTATCGCACAAACTTTCATAACTGAATCAATAACCTGTAAAATCCTCATAGGTCGAAACCGACGGAAGAGTCCATTATTATTATTATTGTATGTATTATATATATATATATATATATATATATATATATATATATATATATATATATATATATATATATATATTTTTTTATATATATTAAAAACAATTTCAGGAAAATCTATGACAGTGGAAAATGTGTTCGTGTGAGACATTTCATAATTTTACAGTTCATCGGAAAAAGTGATATTTATATTGCTGTGAATACACATGGGCATGAAGGAGAGGAAACGCTTAACATTTTAAATTTTATTCCATATTATTTTAATATATGTTTTCGATATATGTTCTAGCCTGATTTAATTTAGATTATTTTTACTTTTGTTTATGTTTCCGTCACTTTTGTTATTAAATATACTACATTCTGATAATAGAAGATCTGACAAGAAAGATGACATGATACAGAACCTGGATGTGAATAATCTATTGATTAGAACACTTTCTATACATTTCCTTATTAAATTACATTCTTTTTTAAAATTAAGGTAATATTAAAAATTAAATTTAATCTCATTTGGCTAACAAATATATTTTGTCTCTAAAAGCTACACATTATGAATGTTCTTAAATAGAATGCAATGAATATTGAGGATTTCTTCTGTTGTTATATTGAGAATAGAAATTTATAAGAATATTTTTATTTTCAGATTTACGATAGGCACGTAAGTTTTGGCTATTGTCATTGCAGTGTTAACAGGACAACTACAAAAGTTAAAGTATTGTTTATTTCATTTTCTTAATTGAAATCAATCGTATGTTTGACTTTGGTTAGTCTACAAGGTAACGTAACAATTCTGTTAGGATATACTAACAGAACGTCATCAGTATATCGGAAATAAGTTGATTGTTTAAGTAAAATATTTTGTAAAGGAACACATTCAAAAAATTCTAAGATGCATGCTAAGATCAGGCTGAGAGGTGAACTCATTCGTAATCCAAATTTAAAAAAAAATAGTTTTAAATATTTAATAATATTGATTATTGATGATACAGTAGATTTTAAATATTTTAACTATTGGTCGGGAACACATTTTTTTTTAATAAATTGAAAAATTAGTTAACAGGAACGTTAGTGTAAAGTGCCATAATGTCTAAACTAGTCATGAGTTTTTCAGTGATATTTATTCGCTTTCAATAAGTTTGCCTGAATTATAACTTTTGATTGACCTTTTGTTCTGGGGAGAGGGGTTTTGTAAGCATTTTATCAAATTTCTAATAGAAATTCAATATATGAATATATAGATATTTATAATATAAAAAATAATATGTTTTTAAATCGTTATTTTAACATCATTTTTTTAAAATATCATGTATTTCAAGGCGCAGAAAATTATGGGTCTCCTCAACTTTAATATCTGAGAATTGCCATGACTTGTGAAATATAATGAAGTTACATTCTGTTGGATTCTTCGAGTTGTTTTTTTTTTTTTTTCAGAATTTACTTTGATCTAAATTCGTTTTCAATAAAAGCTAGAGAGCTCAGTATTCAGTACTATTCCGAACCTACGTAGAATATTCATGGATTCATGCCTATCGCCTGGATATCAAGCGAAAGTGAACTCGACTCCTGGATTTCAATTTTCACGTCAGTAACTATTAAATTAACGGCATTCTCATCCGGGCATCGTTTCGACATTACTAGCTTTCCTCAATATATCCTACCAAATTATCAGAGTATCTAATAAACGGATCTGTGCTATATCGCTGGAAAAGCACTGTATAATAATATATGATAAACGGATATGTTATATAGCTGGAAAGTCGCTGTATATGATAAACAGATGTGTGTTATAACGCTGGAAAGGGACTGTATAATATATGATAAACTGGTGCGTGCTATATCGCTGGAAAGGCGCTGTATAATATACGGTAAACGGATCTGTTTTATATCGCTTGAAAGGCGCTGTATAATATATGATAAACGGATCTGTGTTACATCGCTGGAAAGGCACTGTATAATATATGATAAATGAATGCGTGTTATATTCCGGGAAAGGCGCTGTATAATATATGATAAACGAATGTGTGTTATATCGCTGGAAAGGTGCTGTATAATATATGATAAGCGGATGTGTATTTTATCGTTAGAAAGGCGTTGTCTAATATTCGTATACGTGTTCGTACAGTTTTGGTTGAATTGGAGAGGATACAGACAGCACCAAATAACTCATAATGAATCGAAAATTGCTCCGAATGACCCAGTCCCTGTTGATCTGCTAGATTATGAGATAATCTGAATTTATCATAAACGGATCTTCAATATTATTACGTAGACAAACACAGTTCAGAACCTCATGAATGTCGATACACTCAAAATTGTATTGAAGTACAAAAATGATAAAAATATTTAAAATTATGCATTGCTGTTCAACAATAGCGAAAAAAAATGAAAAATTAATATATTTAACGACTTTCTGTTTAACTAAAAACTCAAATAAATTATTTTTCCCCAGAATATATAACCACGTTTTCATTTTGTTATTTACTGATTGGATTTTAATTAATGAATAAAGTCGTTTATTATGATCTCCTCAATCATAATAAAATTGAAATGCAAGCAAAGAATTCAGAAGTCGTTTTAATTAACCTGCCTGAAATTAAAACCTTGAGAAATTGAAAAAAATATCTAGTCGTTGATAAAATATAATCGAGAGAAAAAATGTTACGCATTTTATTCTATATAAACTATAAAAACTGTCTTCTTATTCTTCTATAGTTACTCCTTGTGAAATATCTAGAAATTGGCTTATCCTTTATTGAATGAAATCAAGAAATTGTTCAAAGCAAAACATCATTGAAAAAGAAAAAGAATAGAAGAAGTATATAGAGAAAAAAAATGGAAAAATGATGGAAATTATAATTTATGAAAAGTGAATTCTCCTTAAAAGAAGTAATGTATTGTTAAAAAAACCAAGATCGTAAAAGAAAAAGAAAGAAACCAATCTAAACCAAAGACAAAAAAGAAAGAAAGAAAGAAAACCAAAGATAAAAATTAGAAAGGAATAAAGGGAAAAAGTTACTTAGTCCAAAGTAAATCAAAAAGAAAGGAAAATGTCTCAGAACGAGTTTGATAAATAAATGAATGACATTCAAAGAAATCTCGTACGAAAGAAAGAAAGAAAGAAAGAAAGAAAGAATCATTGAAAGAAATATAAAAAGGGAAGTGAGAAAAAGATGAATCGGGAATAAACAAAGTAAGACTGGTGGAGTAACAGTTTTGTATTTTCCATCTTGTGTCTGTCAAAATTATTCGAGCGCTGATTTAAACTGGGTTTATGTGCAAAACATTGCCTCACCACTTGGTAGCGTCGTTCATAATACATTTTCATACACTTGTTTTCTATATATGGTATTTCACTTATTTAATTTAAGCTATGACTTGTGCGCTGCAGAAGTTCTTGTCTTGAATTAAAAAAAAACAAAAAACTCCTACCCGAAAATTTGGTCATTTTTTTTTTTTTTTTTTTTTGTGAATTGGGTTGCGAAGATATTTTTTCTTTCTCGACATGTGAATGAATTTGTAAGTGAAAAGACGAAAAAAAAAAAAAGAAATATATAGAAGAATATGGCAAATAAATAAAGAAATAAAATTGATGATGGAAGAGAAAAGAATATTTATATAAAAAAATACAAGGAAATGCAGGGAAAGAAAAGAAGAAAACTATTTGGGGAAAAAGAACGAATAAGACATGAAAAGAATGTCATTAGGAATAAATGAATAATTAAATAAATAATAATAATAATAATAATAATAATAATAATAATAATAATAATAATAATAATGATGATGATAATAATAATAATGATGATAATAATGATAATAATAATAATAATGATAATAATAATAATAATGATGATAATAATAATAATAATAATAATGATAATAATAATAAATAAGATCTTCAAAAAACTATCAAAATACAAGATCTTTAAGTGGAAATCTAAAAATGGGGTACATGTGGACATCAATAATTCCAGTTGTAGTTGGTGCCCTCGGACTGATTGGTAATTTTCCAATTACGCACTGAAGGGATTCCTAGTAACCAATGCTTTAAAAACGTACAACAAATTGTACTCAAATTGTTGCTTACACATTACAAAGAGCTTAATCGCTGTAAAATGTGTGTGATCTTAGGTTCTTTTATGTTTTTTTTTTTACAAAATCTTTCAGTGGAACATAACATGAAGATATTTCTGAACTTAGGTTTCTGGTTGGGACCCAGAAGGAAATAATTATACAACAGAAACACAAGGGATTATTAATATTAATAACAATAATAATTGATAGAATGATAGATTCAATGTAATAAGAAGTAAGAAGAAAAAGTAAAATATTACAAAAAAACGAATATGAATAAATACATAATTAAACAGAAGTTAAAGAAAGAAGAAAGTTTAGGATAAAAATGTTAAATAAAAATCTATCTGAAATAAATACGTCAATAAATTGTAGGAAAATAAATAAAAGAAATGTAACTAAAACATAAATAAGAAATCGAAGAATAAAAAAGAAAGAAAAAGAATGTGGAAAACATTGAAGAAAAAACAAAAGAAATATACGAAAAATTAGATGGGTACAAAGAAAAACTAAGACATGATATAGAACTGTGGCTGCAAGAAATTGTAAAGGCAACATTACCCTTTTTCTTTATGAGGAAACATTAGGCATTTATTCACCGATCAAGAGAAACAAACAAATACAATGAACGAGATGAAGAAAATCAAAATTCAAAACCAAGATACTAAAGTATAAAAAAACAGGCAAACTTTACTGAATGAACAAAAAATTTATGATTCTAATCTATGAGTTGACCTTGTTTTTACCAGCAAAATCAAAAGTGAAACGTGCCAACGTCTGATATCCAACTCCCTCTAGAGGGCGAAGTCTTATCATCAACTACACTGGCCGATGAGGATGCAAAATAAGATATAGTTAGATATGTCGTAATAACAAGATCTTCTCCGCAATTTCGGAAACAAAACGACAAGGCAAATATGTATGCATTAGTAATATCAATCATTGGAACAGCGATGAAATAGATTCCCTGACGAAAACCTCAGGAGTATTATTTTTTTTTCAGTACGTACGCAAACTATTGCATTTACGAATAAGCCTTTAGATTTAGTCTTACGCTACAGCAGAACACATCACAGCGTAAAACTGTGTGTGTGCGCATGCGAGTGTGCTTCTTTGTGTGTGTTTGTGCGCGTGTGTATGCGTGCGCGCATGCCGCTCGCTCGCGGAGTTTATCAGTGTCTCTCTTGCTATTATCATTCGGTAACATTGTCTTTCCTCTACGTTTTTGTTTTCTCCTTCTTTATTTTCTACGTAGAAACAGAATGATGACGATGACAACGACAATGCAGGAGATGCATTTGCGTGGAACAAGCAGAAAATACTAGTCGCAAAGGCGCATGCGTGGAAGAGACAAACGGAAAGAGAAAACAGATTGATCGTGTTTACGAAATGAAATATTGTCAACAGAGACTAAGAAAAAAACAAAACAAAAAAAAAACAAAAAAAACAGACGGGAATAAGAACCGGAAAATGAAAGAGTCTTTCTTCAACAAATCCATATCTCTTTATACTGATATTATATAGGCATAAAATCTATCTATCTATCTATCTATCTATCTATCTATCTATCTATCTATCTATCTATCTATCTATCTATCTACATACACACACACACACACACACACATATATATATATGCATATATATGTGTGTGTGTTTGTGTGCGTGTGTGCGTGTGTGTGTGCGTGCGTGTGTGTGTGTAATCAATTCGCCTGACCAAGGCGGTAATGCCACCAAGCCGCAACAGCTACTGGGAGTAAAAAATGAACGAAGAGATTTTAGAAGAAACCGGAAACCCAACCCTAAACAGGAAATTGCTAAACCTCTATTCTTTTCAAAAGGCTGAGGACGGACGTGAACAGGACGATAAGTGAACTAATTTACTCATATATATATATATATATATATATATATATATATATATATATATATATATATATATATGTATGATTGTGTGTGAACATAGGCGCAGTATGCATATACCCTTTAAAAAAAAAGAAGTAGCCAGACGAAATATATTTGATGAGAACTAGTAAAAATAAAAAGGAAGAGAAAGTCAAACCAGTAAATTGAAGGAAGAAAATACAAAACGAAAACATTTGTTAAACAATGCGTGATTTTTTGGAGAGAATGACCAATTAAATAAAGAACATGATTTTGGTTGAGAAATGAAGGCTACTTGACAGGAAGGAACTTTCTGTAAAGTTACAGGAATACGTAATCAGCTTTGGGGAGTGATTAAGATTTTAAAAAAGAAAGTGACACAATCAGAAAAAAAAAATAAAAAATAAAAATCCACTGAAAATAATGACGTAAGATGTTTCATTAAAATGTACTGAAGGTGAAAAGTTATGAAAAATAAATGAATGAAGGAAGTACAAAAATGTTTAAAAATATTTCTCTTGGAATTATTTTTTTAATATATGTCAACACAAAAAAATCTGTAAAACAAAGAAAGGGAAAAGGAGAAACGGTCAGATCACAATGAAAAAATGAAAAAAATAAAGTAAGAAAAAAAAGCGAAGAAAAATACAAGGAAAAACAAAACAATAAAAATCAAATGGAAAAAGACGAAAATGAGAGACAATGGGAGATAACCAGGGATGGCTTAAACAAAAGTCAAAGAGTTGATGGATAGAATAAAACACGAAAGAAAAGACATATACCGGAAAAAGAACTAACAGCAATGGCAGATAATTAAAAGAAAGAAAGAAAAGAAACCAAAAAATGTGAGCGACGAGGAGGAGGTGAATATAAAAGCCGAAAATAATTAAAACATTTTTGAAAGACAGTATGGTGAATGAAGTGTGAGAAAGGCACGATATATTTTAGATTATACAAAGTTTATATTACAAAGACGCTTAACAGGAACAAGAATTAAATTTAAAGTATTTCACTGTATAAGAAAAAGAAAAACAATGAGAAATTACTTAAAAAAAAACTCTTAAAAACTCCCTCTATGTATTTATGAAAACTGGTCATATACATGGATATGGAAGTTAAAAAAAATTACCTATTTGCGGACGAATAAAACAAGAGAATATATATATATATATATATATATATATATATATATATATATATATATATTGCGGGAGAATAAACTAAGATTATTTTTCTTGAAGAAAAATAGTAACCTTATATAAATTGGGATGAATGAAATCAAAAGGAATATGTGTCGATGTAAGAAAAGAAGACAAACACGCAACTGGAAGCGAAATTATACTTGAACACATTAAAAAAATAGGAAGATGAAAAGTCGATCAGATGATTTCATAAAGAAAGAAATTAATAAAGAAAAAAACTATATAAGTGACTGCTGAATAGAAAGCAAAAAAAGATGGCAAATCTAACTGTAAATGAAAAAAGAAAACGAAGAAGAAAGAAAAAAGGTGATTTTAACTATTGCATATTATTTCTGTTAATTATTTGTTATGTCTTGTCAAATTATAATACAAAAGTAGTATTAGTATTTTTACAACATTCGGTGTTAATCTTAGTAATATTTATGGTAATGTCAAGAATAATGATGATGACGATGGTGATAAAGTTGATGTGAGTATACAATTGACTTAAAATCTAACATGAAAAGAAAGTAAAACTAATTCTAGGATTGTTAACAGATCTTTTTAGATAAAAACATTTAAGAAAATTATTATGCCTGATATTTGGCAAACAAATTAATTAAAAAAACATTTTAAATTCGGATTAGGCTTTAATATAATACGTTTTATCCATTGAACAAATACTACTTTCGCACACACAAAGCAATATATAGCATTGAAACAGGTAGTGTACACACGAACACACGAACACAAATCATAGCACTGGAAGGTCTAACGTAGTAATAAAAATTTAGACAAGCGCACAGGAAAAATAGGTACCTTAGACAGATACACTCAAATCTATCTATCTATCTATCTATCTATCTATCTATCTATCTATCTGGAGCTAAATATACAGGCATGTAGTTTTTTTGAATAAGAGTTGAAGATTATCTCTTGTTTCCTGTTTCGGATTGTGTCTCCCTTACTTTTTCTTCAATTTATTTCACTCCCAGTAGCCTTTGCGTCTTAATGTTATTATCGCTCTCTTTGTGCTGAATTGAATATATATATATAGAGAGAGATATAGTTGCAGAGAGGTAAATGAAATGGCAAAATATAAGCAGGCATGTACACGTGTGTTGGTGTGCATACGCAAGCAAGCAAATAAATAATCGTTATATTTATGCGTGAGGTATCAACGTAATAGTGTTCAATTCAGAGCAAAGATGTGTATTAATTAGTACATATACGCGTACCTACGTTTTTGGCGCGAGACTGTAGTGTCACTGGGTGGTGTTCCCAGTTCTTCAGGCACGGGGTCTATGCTGCTTCTGTGTGTGCGTGTGTGTGTGTGTGTTTATGTCTGTGTGCGTGCACCCGCATATATCATTGTCTCTTTCTTGTGTCCCCATGTAAATATATATAACAAGTGTAAATCGTATATAATAGAATATATTCTGGTCGAAAAATACTAAGTCAAAAACGCCCGAATTACTGTATTTAAACAAACAATTTTCGACGATTTTTCTTGATCAATAATTTCTGTTCACGCAACGGATCTTAACGTAAATAATTGTATGTTTATAAACAGTAATTCGGTCTTTGCTAAGCAAAACCTTCTCTGTATCTGAATGGTATAGCACGTCAGATCAAATGACGATTTCCGTAAAGGTTGAACTCCTCTCGTAGGACGCATATTTTCTACGAAATTTCTCGAACATTCTGCCCGGTAAATGTAATTAATACTGTTTCATTAAAAAAATACTTAAATAAATTTATCTATAAAAATAAATTTATATTTATAAAAATAAACAAATATGTATGCATATATATATATAAAAACAAAATATATATATATATATATATATATATATATATATATATATATATATATATATATATATATATATACACCAACAAGATAAAATACAGTGAGAGATAAATGCTGTATAAATATGCATACAAATGTATAGCTTATTAATATAAACGTTATATTTATTGGGTACATCAATTTGATTTTTTTTTCGTAATGCTCACCCAGTAAATGGCTCGAGGGGCACACAAGGTGGTGCGATAGAAGACAATTTGTTTGGATAGTTGGTGAAGATAACTGTTACCCTAGGCTTGAACAGGTTAAGATTATAGTGATCGGGGAAACATGATTTTGAGAGTCGGTTAAGAGGAGGGTAGTAAGTTAGTTCCACTCTGAAAGAATCAAATTCATAAAATCAGACCTAGATTGAGAAGTACTACTAAAGAACATTTGTGCCTCCGACAAGAATCGAACCTGAATCCCATTTTTCAATCAGAGAAATAAATATTAAAAACAAACTAATAATAACAATAAAATTAATAATAATAAATTGATACAGGTTCGGATGTTGTAGAAACCCCAATTTTTGCGGGACTTCTTGATCCTGGTTTTTATCAAATGCCCTCTTTAAGCTTAAAAACAAACCCAATAAACTAATGAACGCTATATTATTTAAAAAAAAGTAAACAAACGCACGAAGAAAGAGAGGGGGGTGTGAAGAAGAAGAAGAAGAAAAAGAAAAAGAAGAGAAGAAATGCAAATGTATTATAAAATTATCGGTGGTGGGTAATTGAAATATCCATTTTTTTTTATAAAGTCTCACATGTACTTAAGAGGAATATCTTAATACATATGTAATGCTTTAAGACTTCTGATTTTGGTTCTTTTTTTTTAAAATGTCATTAATGAAAATTTAAAAAAAAACCGTTAAGAAGTCATTTGATAAAATGAGGATAACGTAAGTTAGAAACCAAGGTGGCGGATTCAACTGACTTCCTGATTTTTAAAGTTAAAAAGTTCTATATGTTAATTTTACATTTATTTTACTTTTTTCACACGTGTATTGAGCACCTTTAATACTACGGTTTCCTGGTCTGATTCAACACTGACCATTAAACTTTTATGATATACACGCACACACACACACACATATATATATATATATATATATATATATATATATATATATATATATATATATATATGAATATTGAATTTAGCATATTAGGGCAGCAGATCATTATTTAAACATATATCTTTAACTATAAGAGAAAATGAATGTGTATTATAACTGATCATGAGCCCTTATGATGTTCACATGTTTGCTTTAATTTCGGGTACAAATATGCGACAATAACGGTCACAGAATATCAGACGCACTTCGTAAGTTCAAGATGGTGTTCTATGACGTCATACCACGCGAAAGGCCGAAATAACAGAACCGTATGCCTAGATGTAATATAATGTTTTATGACTAGTTTGAAATTTAAATTTATTGAGTTTGTTGCTTTATTTTAATGTAGATAGCCTCCAATATCTGAAGGTCATTTGTATTGTGTGTATGTTTGAGCATTATTTATAACACAATCAATCAATGCATGTAAGCCAACTAAACTTCCGTCCTGGGTAAGACGATGAACTACGTCCAGCAGCAAGGCCTCTGATCAGTAAGTTTTGAGGAGTGTGGAACCACCTCTTAATTGCTGATGTTCCCAGGTTCACCCAGATTAGGGTGATAGCATCTTTTAGGGTCCTAGCTATGGGCAAATAGATGACACCCAAACTGGGGTCAACACTATGAAAGTGTAAAAACAGATATAATACATGCCAGAAATACTTTGTAAATAAAAATTATTACCAGCAATTCATTACCAGCTATAGTTTATTTTGAAAGAAAATATTACCAGCAATAAAAAATTGTCTGCAGTAAATAACCCATTGAGGTTGATAAGCCATAAAACAAATCAGACCATTCAACTCACTAAACTTAATCACTTTTGGAAAATGATGAAATTTGTTCATTTTCAAAACAGTCATTTGGTCAAATAATATATAAATATAAATAAATCATCTCGTTTATTATCCCGTGGGAATGTATGAATATAATTATTTTATTTTGCAACATTCATTTATAAAAAGAAAGAAAGTTGGATAAAAATAGCCTTCTGTTTCAAAAGAAAACTTATATTGACAACGCTAAAAAAAATATTAACAATATCAACATTTATCACTGTAGTTTTTAAGGAATTATATTATCATTATTATTGGCTTAGAATACGTCATCGTTTATCCATACACAGTTAGTTTTGAGAAAGTTTTGGAGCTTTCTTAGATTAAAAATATCGAAAAATCACTGATATTTTTTCTCAACTTATTTATATTAGGGACAAAACACGATGGTAAATAAAAGTTTTCCTTTTATTTTATTCATATATATATATATATATATATATATATATATATATATATATATATATATACATACATACTGTAGACCACCAAATGTTGCATTAAGCCATAGATTTATATATA